AGGAGAGCTTTAAGGTGAACAACATAGCTGTAAGAAAATATCAGTGAAGAAACAGCTGAAAACACGGAACAGGATAAAATACAAAATGCCAGCATCACTTTTTATAGCTTTCTGAATTACTTATTTTTAAGTTATAAGCTTAACTAAGCTGTTATTTTTAAACATTCTGTCAAGTAGGTTTTCTTCTACTGTGTGCAGCTTTGCAAAACTGTAAAATAAATAGCTCTGAAATCTATGGTCTAATTCTATCTATTTAAATTTTCCTGTACACAATGGTGTCACAAGTGGCTTCCTCTTTGCTAACTTATTTTCTGAAATCTTCTCCGACATTATTTTCTTTCAGGAGCTTATACTGCCATTGTTTTAAATATTTTCATTATAGTAGTGACCTCACAGGGAATTCAGGGCTGGATTGTGCCTGACAAAGAAAGCAGGTCAAGGGAGGTTCTCCTCCCCCTCTATTCTGCCTTGCTGATGCCACATCTGGAATATTGTGTCCAGTTCTGGGGCCCTCAGTTCCAGAAGGACAGGGAACTGCTTGAAAGAGCCCAATGCGGCGCCACAAAGATGATGAAGGGAGTGGAACATCTCCCTTATGAGGAAAGGCTGAGGGAGCCGGGTCTCTTCAGCTTGGATAAAAGGAGACTGAGGGGTGACCTCATCAATGTTTACAAATATGTTAAGGGAGGATGGACCTAGACTTTTTTCTGCGATGTCTAGTAATAGGACAAGGGGCAATGGGTACAAACTGGAACATAGGAGGTTCCACGTAAACATTAGAAAAAACTTCTTTATTGTGAGAGTGAGAGAGCACTGGGATAGGCTGCCCAGAGAGGTTGTGGAGTCTCCTCTGGAGACATTCAAAACCTGCCTGGACAAGTTCCTGTGTGATGTGCTCTAGGTGACTCTGCTCTGGCAGGGGGGTTGGACTAGATGATCTTCTGAGGTCCCTTCCAAGCCCTAATATTCTGTGATTCTGTGCAATAAACACTGAGTATCTGGTTATCCAAAACAGGTAACTGAAATAAAAACTCTCAAACTGTTTGAGCGATGCCACAGATTATAAAATCACTTGATGTAACAAACACTGCTGTGTTTGTTACAGTTTATAGCCTTTCTTCACTTACCCATTTGATAATTCAAAAAGTATTTATGCCCAAAAGAACCCACTTGGAAAACTTGAGGGCTTTTGTAGAAATTTTTTTTCTATTTATGAAGTACTTCTCATATCTTCTTATTCTTTTTAATGACTCCTTTCATTATTTGCTACATAACTGAAGAGAATTCAGTTACTTAGCCTAAAATAAATTTACTTTTCTGACTGACATTGGTGTATGCGGTTTCAAGGCAGACATTCAGGTGCCTCATCTGAGATCAGTGTTTTTTGAGCAGATACATCTGTAAGAAGTACAGAAGTGCTCAGTACTTTGTCTGTATCTATGCAATGATATAAGGCCACAAGGCAACTGCAACTTCCAGTTGTCTCCACTGAAAATCCACCTAAACTGAGGATTCTCAGAGTAAGAATGGAGAAAAAATTGTAGTGTCCATACTGAGTGAAAAATCTCAGAAGCTCCCCTGTCCTAAGCTGGTATAGTTACTACTTCAACTACGATCAGTGCCATTTCCCAGCACTCAAGACCTGCAAAAACCATGGAGTAGGATCAGTTCACACAGCGAGAGAGATTCAAACAATGCCATCCAAAAATTACACAGCTACTTTACAAGACCAGTATATACTGTGTAATGAAGCACTATGACCATAAAAATCCAATATATTGGCAGTTTTCTGAAAGAGCCTGGGAATGTTGTCTCAGTTCTGGCAGAGCAACAATCACTTATTAGTGACAGTCACTTAGAGGAACAGTCACTTATGCAATGCTGCCAACAAACAACAGTCCATTATATGAGCCATTACTCAGTGAAACCTTCAAATTAACTGGCCTGGCTCTAGGAGTAACTGCCAATGGCCTTAATAATGCAATAGAACTATCATTATGTGATTCATTTTCTCACTCTTCTCCTGAGACCATTTGTCTCCACACAACTTCAGTAGATAAGGCAACATGCTCAGAAGCTGACTATATATGTGCTCACTCCCTGCATTGAAGGATCATAGAATCATAGAATCCTACGGGTTGGAAGGGACCTCGAAAGATCATCTAGTCCAACCCCCCTGCCAGAGCAGGGTCACCTAGAGTACATCACATAGGAATGCATCCAGGTGGGTTTTGAATATCTCCAGTGAGGGAGACT